GCAAGGAGCATGCCCAGGTGGGATGCACCCAGCTGTGGTACAGCCTTTCATCCCTTTGCCCCAAGTTTTGCAGCAAGGCTGGTTGCACCCCAAGTCACTGGGCAGCTGCCATGATCAGGCATTAGGCATGCCTGGTTTGCAGAAAGGACACCAGCAGAGCACGTGGGAGAGAAGTGGCTTCCTGCCATGCAAGAGGTTAATAGACAGATTAGAGAGGGCAGGCACTGTTTGCAGCAAAAGGAAAGGAGCTCTGCCTTTACAGAGTTCAGCAGCTCCATGAGGCGACGGGGAAGTAAATATTTGCTGGGATTAGGGAGGCTGCGTTCTGGAGCCTGGGGAGGAGTGCTCATGGAGGGGCAACATGTTGTTTGGGCTGTTTTCAGCATCAGGCAGGGTCTGAGAGCTGGATGTCATCTGGGAAAGGATGGAAAAGGTTGTAGCAGGGACACCCTGCACACAGAGGCACTGCTCAAAGCCTCAGGGCAGAAAAAGCCCTTAATGCTCCCTTGATGGCTGTGTTTTCCTCCTCTGCCTTTCTTGCTCTCTCCATTGGCCCGACTGGCTGGCCCGCCTCCAAAGACAGCATTACAGAGTGCCGGATCGATTGGAGCCTGCAATTTTATTTGCTCTCTTTAAGAGCCTTTGATGGGCAAGATGAGCTGTGTTGGTGAGTGCCTTTCCTGGGAGAGGAGGGGAGAGGAACAAGGTTGCAAGCCACCATCTCCAACAGGGAGATGGGGACCCTGCCACCAGTCTGGAGAAGACATAACGGCAGGGGGGGCGCAGACAAGCCTCATGACGGCGCCTGCCCTGCCACCAGTCTGGAGAAGACATAACGGCAGGGTGGGCTAAGAGAGCCTTCCTGATGTGCCATGGCAGCTGAAAAGGGGCTTCCAGCTCTCTCCTTCATGGCACCTGGTGGTCATGGTCACGCTGGCCATGCATCACACTGGCCCTGGCCTCTCCCGTGGGGTGGACTTTCTGCTCATCAAGATAGAAATTGGGGTAATTGTGTGACATTCCCTTCCCAAAGTGCCTATGGCTCTGGTACTGACTCCTCTTTGGAGAGACAGGGGTGGCAGACGTGTCCCTGTGAGACAGCTTGTCCATGCCCAGAAAGAGAGGGTGATGGCTGGAGAGTGACAAGCTTCATACACCAGCATCCCTTCATCTGCAGCAGGCTGAGGATGCTGGATGCGCACCAGGGCGGCAGAGATACAAGGGTCACTTTGTCTCACTTCCCTGGACTCTCACCTCTGACTTGTTAAAAGGCACCAGAGGATGAGAAGTGGAGGACGTTGTGGGCAGAAGCTAGGGGCTGCATTTGTGGCCCCAGTCTTGGAGCAGACAAGATCTTTAAGCATTCAAGGCTGTGAAAATGAGGCATCTTCAAAGGCTGCTGCAGAGTGGGGATGGAAGCAGGAGGCAGTTTGGGCAGCTCCCTTCTCCCAACAAAGCAAACCTGAAGGCATGAACCCACCCCAGCCTCCTCAGCAGAGGAATTAGCACAGATCAACAAGAGCATGATACTGGAGCCAACGGAGATTAATTATCCTCAGATGGACTAATTGTGGCTCATTATCAGTGCAGCACCTGGGACTGCGTGGGTAGGGCAGAGCCTCCTCGTCCATGCAGGACGCTGGGGATGCTCGCCCAAGCCTTGGCTGCCTCTACCAGCTGGCTGCTCACGTCGTGTGGACTTCTGAGCAGAAGCACTAAGTAGGGGAGAGTCCCACGGTGGCATCCTCCCCACCGCACAGTATTCGCAGCGGCAGCCCGCTCTGCCGGGTGCCAGGCGGGTGCTGTTAGCCCACACTGCCACCGCGCGGTCGCTCGGACCCCAAAGGCTGTCCCTAAATCCCCTGTACCCCTTTAACCTCTCCGAAACACCTCCCGGGAGTCCCCAGCCCCTCCACCATTGTCCCTGCGAAGGGGGATGCTGCCCTGACTTCGTTTGGTCCCGTCCTACCCCGGGGGCAGCTGTGGGGCACGAATGGGGCTAAGGAGACAGTGAGGAGAAGGATGGAGCTGTAGCAGGGATCGGGCTCTTGCCTCTGGCCTTGCAATCAGCTACTCTGTTTTGCTGTGGAGGGTCTGCTTGAATAATTTAGCTGGAAGGCTCATTAACCAGGTTCTGGCCTTCGTCTGCTGGCTGAAGGCTGAAATAGTCATTAGGAGGAACACGCGTCACCGCCCAGCACAGCCTCCCCTCCCTGCTGGCCCCCTCCTCTCCCTCTCCCTCTCCCTCTCCCTCTCCCTCTCTTCTCCTCCTGTAAACAGGGCACATGTTCTCTGACCTTCTGACAGAGAAGAGAAACACCACTGCCCCTGGCTCTGTTGCTATCTCTTGCTCCCTCTCCAGCCCTGTCCCAGGGACACCAGCATGCATGCAAGCCCTGTGCCTCAGTTTCCCCTCTCTAGACTGCAGTAGGATGCTGCAACTGGAGCTCATGACCTCCCCCAGGAAGCTTTCTTTGCATAACTCATCATTACTGATGGCTGAACACAAGCCAGCAATGTGCCCAGGTAGCCAAGAAGGCAAATGGCATCCTGGCTTTATCAGAAATAGTGGGTATCCCTGTGCTCAGCACTGGTGAGGCTGCACCTCCAACATGGGGTTTGGTTTGGGGCTTTTCTCTACAAGAAGGACATTGAGGTGCTGGAGTGTGTCCAGAGGTGAGCAGTGAAGCTGTTGAACACGTCTTATGGGGAGTGGCTGGGGGAACTGGGGTTATTTAGCCTGGCGGAAAGGAGTCTCAGAGGCACCTTCTCACTTTCTACAACTCCCTGAGAGGAGGTTTTAGCAAGGTGGGTGTCAGTGTGTTCTCCCGAGTGACTAACAATAGGACAAGAGTAAATAGCCTCAAGTTGTGCCAGGGAAGGTTTAGGCAGGATATTAGGAAAAGTTTCTTCACCAGAAATGTTGTCAAGCCCTGGAGTGGGCTGCCCAGAGAAGTCACCATCCCTGGAGGTATTTAAAAGCCACATAGATGTGGTGCTTAAGGACATGCTTATTAGTGACCTGACAGTTCTGGGTTAACGGTTGGACTTGATGGTCTTAAAGATCTCTTCCAACTGAAATGATTCTATGATTATTTTCTGACTGTGGGCTCTGCTCTGAACTGCTGAGCCAGAATTTCAGCAGTCCACCCTGCCAGCCTGTGCTCACAGCAAACGGGCTGGGTTGGCCCTCTGCAGAGGCCACAGTCAGGCTGCTGTCTCCCATCAGGGTTGCACTCAGACCCTACACACAGCCCTGAGTCTGTTAAGCCAGTGAGGCCTGGGCTGCGCTTGGGAAGCAGGGCCACAGAGACCTCCAGGAGATGAGCAGCTCTGCAGGGCTGCCAACAATGCTGGAGATTTGCACAGACATGGCTGCAGGGATGTCCCACTTTGTGTTGATGTCTTGAGGCTTTGCCATCCTCCTGGGTGCAGGCCCATCGATGCAGCAAGGGCATCCTTAGCCAGCCTGCAGCGTCCTTTACTTCACTGGCACGGCATGCAGGGGGTGGTTAGGTTGGTGCACAGCTTCCCTGCACCAGCATCAGTGTGGCTGCTCCATAGCAAGACGTGCCCACACCATGCTCTGGGACTTGTGATTTGCCCTTGCAGCTCTCAGGGGAAGGAGTTTCCCATCCTGGGGGTGCTCCCTGAACTCTTGCATCACTGCATCCACGGGTTGCACCTCATTTTGGGTCATGGCCGCGGGTAAGGCATCTGCCTCAGCAGTTAGCTGTGTGGTGGGGAGCACTGCCAGGGCCACAGCGGCGTGGTGAGCAGTGATGTTTGCATTGAGGCTGCCGGGTTTGGTGAGTTTGTTTAAAAACCTCTGCTTGGAGAGAAAACTCTGTTCTGGGACATCCCCAGTAGATGTGTGGGGAGGAGGGCTATCGAAGGAAGGGAACGAGGGACCACCACAGGTTCAGACATCCTTTCTGAGGGAACCTTGCTGCACATCCACACCAGGGAGTGTATTTTGTGGCCAGGTAGTGTGCCAAGATGCTGCAGTTAAAGCCAAACTCTGCTCTTAGCAATGCAAGCGTCCAGGTACCAAGAGGAGCCGGGTTTCGTGTCAATTCAGACAAGACTTATCAACCTACAAGGGAAAAATTTATCACTTGGAAGGTATCCCCTCTCACTGTCCCACACGCACAGGCCCTCAGCATTTTGCAGAGTCTTCTGGCAGGTCTGGCCGTGCTCCTGCAAAGAGCACAGAGTGTACATGTGTCCAGGGAAGCCAAGTGCAGTGTAAACACTTGGTAGGGTTTAAAGTCCTCTTCTGCCTCTAACCCTCCAGGACCAGCTGATGAGGCAGAGGAAGGCTGCTTCCTGCTGCATGGTCTCATCCTGTCTCCGGTTGTTTTCTGGTCTCTTGGGAGGCAGGAGTCTGGGATGGGTTGCCCTGCCCTACTGCTAGAAGTGTTAACACTGCCAGTCCTCCTGCAGAGCTGAATTTTCTCGCCTGCTTTCAGGTTGTCCTTCCTCATCTTTCCATTAGCAGTCCTTCTTCCTCCCTTTAAGGACCTCTGGTCTTTTGGAGGATCATCCCTCAACAAGTTCAGCACTCCTCAGGGAAGTGGGAGAGAAAGCTGTGAGCACTGTAGCTTAATGTGGTCAAGAAAGCAGCACCTCCTCCCCACCAGCAAAGTCTGTGTCACAGCCTTAAAGACAATTTCCCCTGGCACCTGCCAACCTCCTCTGCCACTTTGTCTCTCATTAAAGCTGATGAGCTGCCAGGGGAGAAGGTGAGCTGTTACGCACAGCCCAGTACAGACCAAGGTCTTACAGGCAGCAGACATGGGACAAAGTCCTCCAGATGCTTTGAGCAGCTGATAAACAGAGACTAGGCTCCCCTTGCAAACTGTGTCCCCTCCAAGCTGGCCGCAGTTGAGAGTGGAGGAATATTCCCTTATCTGGGATCTGGTGATAACTCCTCTCCAATGGGTAATTGTCCTTTCTCTTTCC